TAGATAGATAGATAGATAGATAGATAGATAGATAGATAGATAGATAGATAGATAGATAGATAGAGGTATTTTGATCTGGGATTTTCCATAGAAGATTTCTTCAGATTTTATCTCCATGTTCCACCAAGATGCCAACAATAATTTTTGTCACTGAAACATGGGTAATTTCCAAAATTTATCTTGAAACTACTAGTCCTTCTCGACTAGTTTGTCCTCAAAATTTGAGGAAATCCATGCTTTGATTAACAGCCCATGTTGCTACAAAGCAGCAAAATGTTTGTCTTGAAAATACACCAACTCCACATCTCAAGGGTTAAACACTCACCCTTTTGGCTGGCTCTCAAATTCTTCAGCCCACTGCTCCTGCGCGTCTTCAGTGGAGAGGTCCACGTCACGTGTGGTGGCAAAATTTAACTCGCTGCCTTCAGTCCCGTGGAAGTAAATGACATTTCCATCTGACTGACAGCTATGCTGCAGAAAAACACACATGCAGGAAGGATCTGTTAAGTCGATTTTGTATGTGAAGTTTGCAGGGGGGGGGAAAAGTGTATTATTTGATAAATGGCTTGTAACAGAGGCTAAACTCAAAAAAAAGATTGACATTGACATTGACATCCGCCCAATGTTGCGCCCAACATTTCTGCTGCTAAGTGAAACATTTATTCAGTAAATTTTGCCCCGTTTTACGACCTTTCCTCCCACAGTTGTTAAGTGCTTGCTTACTTGCTTCCCCATTGACTTTCCTTGTCAGAAGGTCGTAAAAGGGGATCCCGTGAGCCCAGGGACTCTGAAACCGTCATAAATATGAGTCAGTTTCCAAGCGCCTGAATTTTGATCATGTGGCAATGATCATAAGTGTGAAAAATGGTCATTAAGTCACTTTTTTCAGTACCGTTGTAACTTTGAATGGTCACTAAATGAACTGTTGTAAGTTAAGGACTACCTGTAATTAATCATTTCTCTAACACAATTATTTTAATTTAAAGCTGTACCAGACATTAAAAGTCCATCCTATTTTGATTATTGTTCATCATGGCCACCCTACATTTGTCAAACACAATTAGGTACACACACAGGGCATTTGATGCACATAAAAAAGGCAAAACTTTAATTGCATTGCCACCTTTATTTTTTTAAACACACACACAAGCACACTGGTAGATGCATAAGTGCATAATTGTGCCTACCGTCCCTGTCCTATTGTCCTCATTTATTTGTATCTATTTCCTGTATTCTTACTCATGTTTATACTTATACCTATTATCTTGTAAGTGATTGACAAATCAAATCAAATCAAGTCAATGAATGAATGAATGAATATATTGCATCTTTAATCCTAAATGTCAGCTGCCTATTTTTCATTGGCACTGATCCCTGAAACACTGGATACTGATTTATTGATAGTAGTTTGAGGATTTTAATTTTTTATTGCAGTAGGTCCCCAAAAAATAATAATGAAAATGATTAAAATGTTAGTATTTTAGCAGTAGACACCCTACTTTTAACTATGAATCACTGCATCACGATATTCGCTTTCATAAGGAGGTGACACTTTCAAAGATTTTTAAAAATACATTTTTATTAAAGAAAAATATAAGAGAGAAAAAAGAAGTAGAAAGTAGTTGGACAGGGGTATATGTATCTTGGAAATTAGTATTTTTCAGTATTTCATTAATGGATTATAAATGAATTATATCATTTAAAAAACTGTAAGAGTGTATTACATTGTTTTTAAAAACTACTTTGTGCCATGGTACTTGTAACAGAATCTATGTACCAAAAACAGCAGCACAGGTCATAAAATTATACTCAATTCTGTCCATATGATTCAAGGTCTACTCTGATTTAAAAGAACCCATAAAGCTGAAATTTTAAGATGTTTTTGTAACAAGAAACCAAATCCTTGGATGTGAGGCAAATGCATTCCTCAAACTGTAAATCAGAAATGGCTTCCAAGCTGAATTTAATTCTGCAACAGATTTAAGGTATAAAGTTAGCTTGGGTATCAAAGCATGGTCCTGCAATGTAGTTAACCTTTCTTCCACCGAGTGGATCAAATGTCCCTTTTAAATAAGAAACCTCATAATTGCTTTGCAATATGTCAGGTGATGATATAGAATTAAACAGCTAAGCCAAAGCAATAAAAATAGATGGTGACACCTCTCAATCAAAGGCCTCCAGCAACTCTATCTTTAATAATCACCTGATGCCTAAAAGCTGAGCCTATAGAGAACAAATTGAAACTTATTTGAAAACATACAGTGTAGCATCAAATAAGGTATATACATAAATCCAAAAATGAAATGATGATAAGCCATGAGGCAGCAGCTACTATTAGAAACAAACATTTTATTGTTCTAAATGTAATAGAATGCACAACTAAAACCTCTGTAAATTTGATTGAATCAATTAAATATATTTCTCCTCCCCCTCTCCCTCCTCTCCTCCTTCATTTCCCTTCTTCTTCCCTCCTTCCCTCCTTCTCCTTCCGTTCTCCTCCTCCTTCCTCCTCCTTCCTCATTTCACTTCTTCTTTCTTCCTCCTCCTCCTCCTCCTCTTCCCCCTCTCCTCCCCCTCCTCCTCCTTCTCCTTCCCTTCTCTTCCTCCTCCCCCTTCTCCTTCTCCTCCTTCCCTTCTCCTCCCCCCTCCTTCTTCCTCATTTCACTTCTTCTTTCCTCCTCCTCCTCCCTCATTTCCTTCTCCTCTTCTCCTCCTCCTCTTTGGGTGTTGAGGAAGATACAAAATTCATCCATTCATTTATTTCACCCCAAATTTGAAATTCCTTTAATAAGCATAACTGTAAAGCAACACATCATTTTTATTTATTAAATATAGCCTCCCATAACTTCCACTTTGCAGCTTCAAGATGCTTCCACTGGATACATCTGGACTAAATCCCTTAGTTTACTTGATTCAAAGGTTTTGTGATAGCTCCCATCTTTCTGAATTCTCAATTCCACTTCTGCTATATTGGTCTGTTACCTATACCAATACTTAGATCTAATCAAAATCTATCTCAAAGATTTGTTAGCAGCTTAATGGACATGAAATTTCTCTCAGACAATTAGAGCTTCACAAATATTTTTTTTTAAAAAAAACAACTCTGGCTATTTTGGGATGAGCTTTGTCCAGCGTGCAGTCAGTATCCAGTTTGCAACAGGCTGGTGTTAAATGGAAAGAAATCTGCCCACTTCCCTTGTACGTTTACTTTTATGGAGAGTCATCGATTTTCTCCATTAAGAAGTTGTCATTCACCCACCCAGCCGGAAACGCAATTTAAAATAAAAATAAAAATCCCAGCCAGACTGGTTGCACCGACTACAGAAATAAAGAGCCTTTTCAAAATGCAAGTTAGACTATTATTTGCAACAAACCAAGTGGTAAACTTCAACAGCCCTCCATTTTGTAATCACTGTCACATATTAAATGATTGTTTTTACCACTTCTGATCCTTCACAGAGTGGTTTTTAATTAAAACCTATGCTGTGCAATTTGATTAAATAGGAGGAAAGAAAAATTAAGTTGGAAAGAAATTAATTAAAAATGTATTATGTACACAAACATGAATTCGATATTATGCGTTGCCAGGAACAAATTATAATATGTTTTTTTTTCTTTTTATTTTAAGACTGCAATTTGAAATCCATCTATTTATAATTGTAATATTGCACAATAAAACTGATTGCAGATTAATGGAAAGTTGTAACTTTGATACACCTTAATGCGTTTACAGTTATGTATTTAACAGTAATTGCTGTTTTTTTAAAAAAATAATGGGTTACAAGGTTGAAATACAAAGAGAATAATTCAGGCTTTTTCATAATTAAAAGCAGTGGTGGGATTCAACCAGTTCGCACCAGTTTGGGAGAACCAGTTTTTCACTTCCTGAGCAGTTTGGTGAACTGGTTGTTGGAACAAGACATTAGGACAGAGAACCGGTTGTTAAATTATTTGAATCCCACCAATTATTAGGATTAAAGCTGCTCTTTACTGAGTAAAGATGAAAGGTTTAATTACTTTTAATGTGATAAGTAGATGAACAGTTGTTATAGCTAACAACTAGTTAACAGTGGCTGGTCTTGAACAGTTAAACAGGGTCAAATCCAATTAATATTTGAACAGGGGATTATAGCAAATCCCAGAAGATCAATCACATTAGCAAACTAATGGACAAAAAATAAAAATAAATGAATAAAAACCAAATAAAAAGATGTCCATTTAGCCACCAGAAGCTAAGTGTAAATTCATGAGCACTTGCAAAGCAACCACCCCAAAATTGAATCCATCTTGCTCAGATTTCTTCCAATAACCAGTTCACCAAACTGCTCAGAAAGTTAACATCTGGTTCTCCCAAACTGGTGTGAACCGGCTGAATCCACTACTGATCTTGCTGCCTTATGTAAGTTTATCTTTCCTTATGCAACTTAATCCCGGAACTAGTGAATTTCCCCATTTCCACAGTTGTTACAGTATTTATAGATGGGGAGTCCATTAAAAAGAAACAGTAAGAAAGGAGCACAGGTAGTCCTTGACTTATGGACCAGAACTGAGGCCAAAAATTCTGTAGCTAAACAAAGCAGTTGTTAAATAACTTTGGCCACTTTCTTGCCACCATTGTTAAGTGACTCACTTAGCCTGGACGGCCTCCTGCGGCACTCTGCCGGCCAAAATGGGGCATGGGGGGGTCATGTAGCCCCCCCCCGCACCCCATTTTTCAGACTAGAGGTTTCCTGCAGTACTCTGCTGGCCAAAAAGAGACACGGGGGCAGCGTGCAGCCCCCATGCACCCATTTTCGGCCTGGACGGCTACTTGCAGGACTTTGCCAGCCAAAAAGGGGAGCAGGGGGCAGCGCGCAACCCCCACCTGCCCCATTTTGGGGCTGGACGGTCTCCTGCAACAGTCTACTGGCCAAAAGGGGGCACAGGGGGGCACCCCCGCACCCCCATTTTTCAGCCTAGAGACTTCCTGCAGTACTCTACTGGCCAAAATGTGACATCGGGGGGCAGTATGCAGCCCTCACGCACCTTATTTTTGGACTGATGGCCTCCTGCACCACTTTGGTGGCCAAAACAGGGAGCAGGGAGCAGTGTGTAGCCCCCATACCCCCATTTTTGGGCTGGGTCACCTTCTGCAGCACTTTGCTGGCTGAATAGAGAGCTGCAGGACACTGTCCAGGCTGAAAATGGGGCACAGGGGGCCACGTGCAGCCCCCCTGTACCCCATTTTGGCTGCCAGAGGCACCACGGGCTGGTCCTTTGCTATTTCCAGGCCAGCCCCATGGGCCAGATTTCAGGCCTTGAGTTTGAGCATGCTTTAGTTTAGAACATGTAGGTCAAAAAATTATCTATTTAAACTGCACAGAAATTGCATGTTCTAGTGCAAAGACAATGGGCAGTATCAAAGAAAATAGAACCCCAGCATTACAGAACACTACTATCAGCAAGGGAGAGGTAGAACAAGGGAGAGGGAGTTCAGCGGAAGACCTGGGCCCACCCCCTCTTCATCCTAGGGCACACAGGGAAGAACGGCGAAGAGAGCAACGTGGGTAGCGTAGCTTACAGGGGAGGAAAGGGTCCTGATTCCCTTCATTCCCACAACTGGGAAGAGAGTTTTGAAAACAGAAAGTTTAAAAGAGATGCATGCTGAGAGCAGCAACTGCTGTGAACAAATGCGAGTTTATCTTGTGTTGACTTTGCTTATCTGTGTTCCTGGCATCTTCTCAACTATGTTGAGTTATTGCCGTGCCTTCAAGTCTGGAATTCCTTCTCTTGCCCTGCTGGACTAATTACATTTTGACTTGATTGGACTTATAGTTACAGTTTTTGTTGACCACATTTTGGACTTGATTCTCTGCAGCCAAAGGCTGTTTCTGGGAGAGTTTTTCTCCAGCCCAGAAGGAAGCCAGGATATTGGGGCAAAGTTGGAGCTAATAAAGGGACTCCTACTGATTATCTGACTGTGTTGCCTTTGTGCCACGCCCCTTTGGGTCATCACACATTTGTCTGAAATGGTCTCCCAGGGTCTCCTGCTTGAGCAGGGGGTTAGACTAGAAGACCTCCAAGGTCCCTTCCAACTTTGCTGTTCTGTTAACTCAAGGTGACAAACATATCAAACACAGCTTCCTCCTCTTACTTTACCCAGAACAACAACCCAATGAGGTGGGTTAGACTGGAAGAAAGAGTGACTGGCCCATAGTCACTGAGCTGGTTTTCATGGTTAGAAATATAATATATATTACATTGTATAATAATAATAGACTGTATGGTTTCTGTTTTCAAAAATGCATGCCTAGCCCCATACGGCATGAAGTGTAATGGGAATAAATGCCAGATGGGGATTAGTTTGACAAATTTAATTTACCTTCTAAAATTCTATGCAGAGACACACACACAGGGAGAGAGAGAGAGAGAGAGAGAGAAAGAGAGAGAGAGACGAAAGGTTAATCAACTAATGCATTGCCCTGACAGATAGATACTTTACACTCTGTTGGTTTTGAAAGGGAATATCGACAAGCTTTTTATGGGAACTTCAGTCCACATTTAATCTCTAATTCACCCACTTTTGATGTAAGCCTTAATTGGAGATGCACGCAACAGTGGAACAAGAGTAGATCAACTGAACAGCGTAAAGGGTTTCCAATTATACATGTATATTCCATTAAGAAAGATTGCTCCATAGAACAATGTGAGTAGGGAGGAAAAAAGGCACTGTAAAATAAAAGATATTAGAAAAGAATTTAGCTGTCGTAATGATAGGAATAGGCGCGGCCGGCAAAGTGGCATTTCCGGATTGCGTGCCAAATATTTCAACACAGATTTAGATCTTTGTATCAGCAATTTAGGAATATTTCAAAAGTATATTGTTGTTGAAGACAACAATTCAGACACCACACTATAAAAATGTTTTATAGAGGAACAAAAATCCCATATTGGTTGTATTATAGGAAACATCTATGATCTCCAACTTGCCAAAAATATGATCAGTGTCAGTAAGGAATCTTTATAAAGCCCTATGTATATGGTTTTTAAAAAATACACAATCAAGTATACTTCAAAGGAAACACATCTTTATCATTTTACAGATGATAGATGATAGGTAGGTAGATAGATAGATAAATAGACAGACAGACAGACAGTAGGTAGATAGGCAGTAGGTAGATAAATGGATAGATAGATAAATACTAGATAGATACATACTAAGATACTAGATAGATAGAAGATAGGTAGGTAGAGAGTAAATAGAGTAGATAGATAGATAGATAGATAGATAGATAGATAGATAGATAGATAGATGATAGATAGATAGATAGATGATAAGCATGTAGATAGACAGACAGATAGGTAGGTAGTATAGATATAGATGATAGATAGGTAGATAGACAGTAGATAGAGAGTAGATAGAGATAGATACTAGATAGATGCTAGATAGATAGATACATAAGATAAATAGTAGATAATCGATAAATAGATAGTATAGATATAGATAATAGGATAGATATAGATGATAGATAGTAGATAGATAGATAGATAGATAGATAGATAGATAGATAGATAGATAGATAGATAGGATAGAAAGAAAGAAAGAATAACTTTACTTTCACTTTGAATGTACACTAATTGGCATACATTAAAATAAAATTTCATTGCATACAGGTTTCAAAGGGTCACCACTTGCAATATAACCACATAAACATGACTAAATAAATAAATAAATACACACACACACACACACACACATACATACATACGCATATACCCACATCTATTCTATGACAGAGGGAAACAACAATAGTCTAGTTCGGATGTATACATGTACATGGTGAGAAAAAACGAATCTTGCGAGGTGGAAAAGAAATGGAAATTACTAGGTATAACTATTCATGAGTCAGGATACAAGACTAAAACTGCATAAAGGCTTAAACCCTCTCAAAGATGCTTTTCTAACAGAGTTGTAAGTCAAGGACTACCTGCAGGGCTTGTGTATTCTTCTATAGATTAAATTTTCATTTGATAACTCCATACGCGACACATAAACGTATGTTATGTGGTGATGGGTGGTAAAAACGTAATAATTAGAGGACACATACCTCTTTCCTTTTTTGGGTTTCATCTCAAGCAGAGTTTATTGCTCAGGAGAGAAGCAAATACTTCGTGGAGTCAACTAATTGCAAGTTAGAAATCAAAATTAAGCAAACCTTAATCGTGGCTCCAGGGAAAAACAGCCAGTTTCCCGTATCCACAGGATCAAGGTTGTCTTCTAAAACAATTTGTCTGTGAGCTGCATTGATGATCAAGATATTGTCCAACGCCCAGCAGGATTCGTACACTTCACCCACATGTACATATTCCTGCTTCCACTGAAATTGAATATTTTCTCCTTTGGCTTCTTCGGGGAGATACAGAATGTGGATGATGGTGCTGACATTAGAAGGAGCTCTGTATGACACAAGTAGGCAAAATGAATATTATTATTATTACTATTTAGTTACATAGCCCGGGGCAAGTAAGCAAAATTCATAATATGATACTCAAGAAATCCTGTCTTTCAATCAAACTGTTCAATTCTAGGCAATGTCAATTTTGTAATCCTCCTCCTCCTCCTCCTCCTCCTCCTCCTTTTATCGACTCCATATTCCCTTGCAGGATGGAGTCTGGGCAACTGAATGGAGCTGAGTATTTACAGGCCAGATGCCTTTCCCGTTGCCAGTGTGGAGTTGTTTTTCTTCCCCAGCAGATATATTCTCAGTGTGCCCAGAGAGAGAAATATCTGCCCCTACCTAGGATCGAGCTCAGCCTCCTGGTTGTGAGACAAGAGGTCTACCTCCAGGTCACCGCACCACTCCACGAGTTAATCTTGCAATATTTGTTGAAATTAAAACAAAATTGCATTTGGCTGAAACGGTATCCTAAAAGTAATTTGCAAACACCAAGCATTTTATACAGGTAGTCCTCAAGTTATGACCGAAATTATTTTTGTTGCTAAGTGAGACAGTTGTTAAGTGATTTTGCCCCATTTTATGACTTTTCTGGCCACAGTTGTTAAATGAATCACTGAAGTTGTTCAGTTAGTAACACCGTTGTTCAGTGAATCTGGCTTCTCTGTTGATTTTGCTTGTCAGAAGGTCGCAAAAGGGGAATCACACAACCCTGAGACACAGAATAAGTTCATGCCAGTTGCCGAGTGTCCAAATTTCGATCACGTGACCATGGGAATGCTACAATGGTGTAAGTGAGAAAAATGATCACGGGTCGCTTTTTTCCATGCCCTTGTAACTTCGAACACTAAACAAAATGGTTGTAAGTTGAGGACTACCGGTATTTAGCTTAGTACTATGAAACGTGAAGCTTGACCTGGGCTAAATAAATTCTGCAGGAAAGAATCTTGCAAGTCCCATAGAAATCATTTGAGCTGTCAGAGCCCCAGAGATGAACAAGGAAGTGGAAGAGGGTGAAGAAATAGTCAGTCCAAGAATGGCATTTTACTGTCTGAGAAACCAAGTTTTTGCCACGATTATGGTTTCTTATTCTTCTTCAGAAGAGGAAGATCAATTTTTTGTTCTTTCCACAACTTTTGCTTGATCTAAACAGAAGTCTCCAACCTTGGCAACTTTTTGGACTTGTGGACACTTCAACTCTCATAATTCCTCAGCCAGCGTGGGAATTCTGAGAATTGAAGTCCACAAGTGTTAAATTGCCAAGATATGGACACCCCTGACTAAGGAAATATGCAACAAGGAAACAGGAAATATCTGCTCATATCCCAATGATTCTGAATCAAGAAATTCTGAAGTCTTGAACTGATGAACGATCAATGTTTTATTCATCCCTTTGCCTGAATCACAGAGATGCTTAAATTGTAGTTCAAAAATAGGTCTTCTAAGGCAGGGGTCCCCAACCATCGGGCCCCGGACCAGTACCGGTCCGTGGATCATTTCTACCAGGCCGCTGGTTTGCTGGGCGCTGCCATCTTGTTTCGATGAGAAAGTGCTTCCGGGTGAGCTTTTCTGGTTGGAAAGTGGCGTTTGGGTCCTGAAGGAATCCTCGCGCCTTAGTTTCATCGAAGGGGGGGCGCTTCGAATGAAGAGCTGTCCCGATGGCGGAGGAGATTAAGAAAGCACAAAAAAGCACAAAAAAGGTACAAAGGAGGAGTTGAAGGTGGCGGGGAGAAGCGGGGGATGGCTGGCTGGCCGGTCCCCGGCTCGCCTTGCCTTGTCATGCATGGTGATGCCAGTACCGGGCTGCGGATCATTTTGTGATGCCGGTACCGGGCCGTGGCACAAAAAAGGTTGGGGGCCACTGTTCTAAGGGGAAAAGTGGCATCAGCAACCTGCGGCACTCATCTTGATTCCTCCTTTTTTGCAAACTCAAATGATTGGTGAAAACTGACATCAGGGTTTTTGGTTTTTCAAGATTGGAAACATATGAAATGTCTAAGTCCTAAAATAAGAATTAAATAACAATCATTCAACATTTCTCCCTAAAATCCAACTAAGCTCCATAAGTGTGATGTCTAATCCTTTTTCAAAATGTTGCCCTTCTTTGGTACAAGTCATTATTTAACAGTAGGAGTTATACTCTTAAGCGACAGCTGTTGATTCAAACTTAAGGAAACCCAGCTGAAAATTAAGTGGGTTAATAGAACTAGCATTACACTATCCATTCCTTGATCTTAATCTTTTTACCAGTCTTCTGAAGTTGATTGAATCCTGGTTTAATGTGGTTACCACAGAGAAGCTCCCATCTGTTGGTCCTGAGGCAATTGATATGTTTTTGGGGGGAGGGAGTGTAAGTGCATATTAGATCCATGTCCTTTCTGATTGGTTGAAGCTGCCCAAATTGTGATGTGTGGCTGGATCATAGTAAGGGGGCAGTCTTGCTCTTGAAGTAGGTTGTTGGTTTCTCAAGAAGCCATTGTGGGATTCAGTGTGCAGCTTTTCCCTTTTTTGGGAAAGTTGTTGAGAAGGAATTTGGTTTGACAAAAGCTCTACAGGAAACAGATTATCTGGAGCCCTTTCCATTAGGATTCAGACCATTAGGATATAGAACTAAGACATCATTGGCTACATCAGTAGAAGATTTCCAGCAAGACCAGAGTGGAGAGTGATCCATCCATCTTAGCTTTCTGGATCTTTCAGCAGCCTTTGATGCCTGTAACCACTGTTTCAAGGGTGTTACAAAGGTTTTTCTCCTTCCTCCAGATCTGGTTCCAGAGGGTGTTGTGGGGGGAGATGTAGGAGCCCGAGGGAGGGGTCAAACATGTCATCATTCTTGAGTTCCTTCAAGAGATCCAACTCTAGCCCTCCTTGAATTCTGTTGACTCTTATTTTATCTGCCTTGACCGTTAGTAGTTCGGATTCTTGTTTAGAGGTAGCAAGTTTAACACCCCTGTGGTAAAGGTTTTGGAATTGGAATATATTTGTGGCTTGGCTTCAATTTTTCTGTTTTGTGGGGTGTCTCTCTGTGTTTATTGTTGATTCATTTGCATGTTTTTAGCCCTTTGCAAGCCAGAGTCAGAGAAATATAAACAAATATATCTAAACTGTCCCTCTAATATAGTCTTTTAAAAAATTCAAATCTCTATTTGTCTTATTTTAGATGTATTATTTTTAATTTACCATATGAAAACATAGACAACAGGCTTCTTAAAAAACAACAACAAAGCAAAATTCAATACTGAAATAAAACATCCAGCAGCCAAAACATTGCAGGAAAAAAAGTAGTGCCGAGAAAGAGTTATAACAAACCTAATTTTCTCCAGTTGAATCCAATCTTCTGAATTATTCTTCGAATAGGAGACAATTATGTCTGGATCGGAGTAACTAAAACGGCACGAACCTGACCCTGTGGAGAAAAATAACAGCAGAAGTATTTATAGCCCTGTTAAGTGATACATTATCCTTTCGACATTCTCTTCTGAGAGAGTCCTTGCCACCATTCTTAATTTTCCATATTTCAACTTTATTTTATTTTTTGATGGATGGTAAGTTTTGCTGTGCTCTGTTGTTGGCGGAAAAAGCATAATAATGCATGCTCCCTGAGTTAGGAATAACTTAGGGAAGATAAATCACAGCAGACCAGGATAATTTGCAATAGATTTCCCAGGAGAGGGTATGATAAATTACTAAACACTCCCTTATTCAAAATGCACACACAAGGCATGGTATAGCAAAAATGAAGTGCCACGTGCCATACTTGCCAAGGTACGAAGTGAAAAACGGCAATACGTGACAGGGATCCTTAAAGCATAAAGGAAAAAACTGATATCGTAACCGTTGGATGATCTTAGTTATAAAGGTAGTCCTTGATTATGACTATAATTGTCACCAGAATTTCTGCACTACCCACAGTGGTTAATTGATGTGCGCCCAATTTTACAACTATTTTTATTGTGGTCATTAAGCAAAGAGCCGTGGTGGCGTAGTGGTTAGAATGCAGTATTGCAGGCTAACTCTGCCAAATGGTAGGAGTTCGATCCTGACCGGCTCATGGTTGACTCATCCTTCCATCCTTTCGTGGTCGATAAAATGATGACCCAGATTGTTTGAGGTGCAAATATGCCGACTCTGCAAACCACTTAGAGAGGGCTGAAAAAACTGTGAAACAGTATATAAGTGTTGTTGCTGTTGCTAATTTACATGGTTGTTAAGCAAATCTGGCTTTCCTGGTTGGCTTTGCTTCTTGAAAGCTGGCTAGAAAATTGCAAATAGTGATCGTATAACACTGGGACACTGCAACCATCATACATACATGCTGGTTGCCAACATCTGAATGTTGATCATGTGATCATGGGGATGTTACAGTGGTTATAAATGCAAGGGCCTGTTGTAAGTCATATTTTTCAGCACCATTGTGACTGTCGTAAGTTGATAACTACTCGTAAACTCTCACAACGAAGTAGAGTCAACTTATTCGTCTCCCAGAGAACAGTATGGTATAGGAAGTGTATCACTGATAGCAGGTCTAATATACTGTGTCATATTTTCCCTTCCTAGCATGTATTAACTGCTAAGCATATCTGCCTCTGCAAGAGACAGGAGTCAGCTTTAAGGCATAGAAAAGAAAATGATCATAGTTTTACAACCCTTGCTACTTATTCATAATGCTGCAGGTCAAGGCCAGTGCTGTGGCCCATCAGTGGCCAGCAGAGCTGGCGGCAGAATCGGATAGTGAGGAGGTTGGGGAGGAACATGGGCCAGTCTTGGAGTCTGGGGAAGGCTCAGGTGAGGGTTCTGCGTCGGAGGCAGAGATGGGACCAGAGTCATCCATCAGTTATCAGATGCCTTCAGAGTCAGAGATCAGTGTGGCAGAAGAACAGCTGGAGCCTGTTCCCTATGTGTGCATGCACAGAGCTGCCAGGAGAAGGGACAGTTAAGGAACAAGGATTGACTCGGAAGCAAGGGAACAGGTGGACAATGAATGGCCCTTCCCATTAGGAATAAAAGAAGCGCGAAAGGGGAGGGGTGTTTACAGGAGACAATTAGTTTGTTTAATTAGTGTGAAGATTTGTTTGTGACTCTCAGAGACTTTTTGCCAAGTATTTTCTTGTACAGCGTTGCGCTTGGAGGCTATCAGCCTGGCAGCTCTCCAAGCTTGATAAGGTATCACTCACTTCACCCTTGAAAGACTGTTTGCCGGGACTTTGCTGGATGTGAATGATAGGAATTCACATTAGCCTAATAAAAAGAGATGAGGTGTCTGCTTTGTGATTTTGTGAAGCCTAGGTCAGAACAGCCAGCCCAAGATTTTGCTACCAAATCTCCTTTCAAGGCTGAAGACCACAACGTTGGCTTCATCCTCCAGATATTTATTCTAGCCTTCCCCTCCTTTACAGGTATTTAGGATGTCTTCTGAAGTCCATGAACCTGCTGAACGGCCAGTCTGACATCGAGTAAGCATTGAAATGCTGGGAACCATGTTCCTGATTGTTCCTCGTGGCTTAGCCTCTTCCTTGTATGTTTCTAATTATTACAAGATTGAATCCAGAAGCAAGTTCATGCCTGAGTGCACCTTCTCAGCCCTTTGCCCCGGGGGACCAGGGACCATGCTCAGGCATGTTATCTCTTCCACGCCAAGCCCTTTTAATTAAGCTATTATTCCATAATGAGCACCAATGGGCAGCCCATCGCCTTAAGAGACTTTTGAGCAGCCAGGCCTATAATGCTCTAATCCAAATTAATGAACCAAGCTTTTTTTCTTTTTAATTCCCCGTCAATAAATAACCAGAATTAAAAGCCGGCAGATCCCACAAGAGGACTGAGGAAAAACTCAAAGCAGGACCATAATAAACAGCCATGGATAGAATATGCTTTCATCGATGTAATTGAGACTCAGAATAATGAGACTGTGAGGATCAAGGATTAATTACGACTGGATTCCATCGGCGCAACTGAGTTTGTCAGATGTATTTGTGAACACCAATTTTTCTACTCAGTCTCTGTTTCAGTTTGAGTAATGTGGTGATGACGCTGATTTTTCTTCTCCCCTGATAAACTGAATTTCAAAGTTCCATCTCTCTCAGTACGCTTTTTACTAAAGTTCTACATTCTTTTACTTCCAGCAACCTGCTCAATTTATGCTTCGATCAAGATTTCCATAAATATTGGTAGTGATTCTGTCACGTTCTGGCCTTTTTCCTGTTTAATGTTTGTGAAGATTCTCAGTCAGCCAGGTCATAGTTATCTCAAAGATGCTTTTTTCCCTTCAAAAGGCAACTGGACTGTTTTTTCCTTGAGGAAGAAAATGTTTCACTCAGTGGTGGGATTCAAAAAAAATTACTACCAGTTCTGTGGATGTGGCTTGGTTGGCATGGCAGAGGAAGGATACTGTAAAATCTCCATTCCCACCAGGGTGGTCTTCAGTAAGTTCTGACCAGTTCTGGAGAACCAGTAGCGGAAATTTTGAGTAGTCCAGAGAACCGGCCAATCCCACCTCTGACTGGCCCCGCCCCCAATCTGTTCTCTGCCTCCCATTGAGTTCCAGCTGATTGGCTGGGTCTCCTTTGGTTGCCCTGCACAGGAGAACAGAACTGGAAAGCAGGTTAGTGGGGTGGGGAGGAAATGGGATTTTGCAGTAACCTTCCCACAGGAGTGGGGCAGGAATGGAGATTTGACAGTATCCTTCCCCTGCCATGCCCACTAAGCCACAGAACCGGTAGTAAAAATGTTTGAATCCCACCCCTGATTCCCACCCCACTCTAGGGGAAGGATACTGCAAAATCCCATTCCCTCCCCACCCCACTAACCTCCTTTCCAGCTCCATTCTCCTGTGCAGGGCAACAAAAGAAGACCCAGCTGATCAGTTGGGACTCGGGAGGCAGAGAAGAGATGGGGGCAGAGCCAGTCAGAGGCGGTATTTGCCGGTTCTCCGGACTACTTAAAATTTCTGCTACCAGTTCTCCAGAACTGGTCAGAACCTGCTGAAGACCACCTCTGGTTTCACTTCTCATCCAAGAAGCTTTGTCAACTCTGATGGTGGGGGGATGGAAGGATAGGTTTTGATAGGATGGGGTTGGTGGGGTGGATGGCCAGATGACTTTCTTTGTAGTCATCTGGTTGTTAGCACTCTCTCTGAGAGTTGTTGAGGTCCTTTGGGGGTTTATCTGGGCCCCCAACAACAAGGTGCAATTGTTTGTGAAATCTTCTTGGAACTGCTGAAAGGACTTCTGCTCTGCTCTGAACTTGCAACATGTTTCTGTTTGAGTTTGCTCCATGTTGGAGAAATCTACAACTGGTTTGTAAAATCTACTTATGTTAATAAAGATGTTAAATGAAGCATCAGCCATCTGGATTTATTTTTCTGGCGCTGAATTACTGCTGCAAAACTCCCAATATTTCTCTATCCAAAATGTGGAGTATCCAAAATGTGGATTTTCCTGCTTAGGTTCAGTCATTCTTTAAAAGAGAGATTTTCCTCTTTCTCCTCTTTCACTTCCTCTTAAGCAGCATATAGCATCATCGTCCTAAGAGTAGGCCAGTTTGCATTGCATCTTGCTGTCTGAAGCCAACTCCAGGGCATAATTTAAAGGAAGCCTTTCCAACAGCAAAGCTTCAAAAGTTGAAATGAAATCCTTCGAAAGCGAAAATTATTCCCTCAAAAGTCCCCCCACCCTCCACTCCTTCCTTTAAAACAAAAACAAAGGACATTGTGGAGATGCCTCAAGATTGAAACGTCATCTCAAAGTGAGTGGGGAAATAAGTCAAAAAAATTAGACTCCAGCTTCAGGAAAAATATGTTCTTCAATAGCAAGAGTTCCAATTCTTATTAAATGAATGTCTGTTGTGAGACTTAGTGCAAACCCAACATAAAAAAATAATAATAATAATCAAGATTGTAGATTTGTGAGAAATCCTAAGGGGCTCCAGGAAGCAGAAGGATCAAATATATGTGCATTATTATGGTTTATATATAATGGAGCAGTCCCTTGGGTAGATACACAGGTATTTGAAAACCCACACCAAACAGAAGGTAGTTCTTAGAAATAGAGATACAGTACATGGGCATATTGGAAAATGGGAATTGAGATGAGATTCCATTATAACAGAATAACAGAGTTGGAAGAGACCTTGGAGGTCTTCTAGTCCAACCCCTGCTCAGGCAGGAAACCCTAGACCATTTCAGACAAATGATTGTCCAATCTCTTCTTAAAAACCTCCAGTATTGGAGCACCCACAGCTTTTGAAGGGAAGCCAGTCCACTGGTTAATTGTTCTCAACTGTCAGGAAATTTCCCCTTATTTCTAGTTTGGTTCTCTCCTTGATTAGTTTCCATCTGTTTCTTCCAGTTCTGTCTTCAGGTGCTTTGGAAAATAGCTTGATTCCCTCTTCTTTGTGGCAACCCCTCAA